CAAAAAATCAAGTTCCAGACCTCTCTGAATGCCACTTCTTATTTTTTTCAATGGCTATTCCCTCATGAATCTAATTAAATATGAGTGTGGGATATTTGAGGTTCTATATTTTATTTTTTATTTTTAGAGAGGAATGTTTGCTTTATGGCACATGTGCTCACCAGAGAGACAGAGAGACAGAAATCACCTCCTTGGGGAGATGACCATGCCACAAGCCCTTCTCCGCCATTCTCCTCTCAGGGTTTTGGGCATGCATGCACATGCACACAGCATGAGTCCTAAGTCACCCGATCTGGGACTCGAACCACAGTTGACTACATGGGAGTTCAGCTACATAACCACTATGCCATCTGTTAGTCCCTTGGGCTCTATATTTTAACCTCATAACTACTAGTTCCACAATCCAAAGGTTTAGAAATTACTAATCTTAAAACCCTGTCAAGGATCAGAAGACAAGAGAATGAGAGCAATGCTTGATGAACCTCATTGATATGCCCATCCTGTGCTCACATTTTCTACCTGTATTCTGCCACATATTTTCTTCTATTAGTCGAAGTATTTTGTATTTTATATTTAAGAGTTTAATCTATTTGCAAAAGATTTTGTAAACACTTTTAGAAATCTGATTTAATTTTTCATCCTGACAGGATGCAGAAATGGAGGAGGAGGATTGCAGTATGACCACATCCCATTGGGTGCTCTCATAAGGGTAAGATACATTGCCTAAAATTGTGTATTAAATAGTGCATTCTTTTTTCCAGTGACCAGCAACAACATACACGCACCCCAGATACACACACACACACATAGACACACACACATCTGCAGTAACATAGCAAAATGCATCCAAATAGTAAGATCAGTTGTTGACTCAGTAAAATAAAGCAAAATACTTAAATTGTCTACTTTGGCCTTTCAACATTCTGGACTATGGTTCAGGTCTTATTCATTCAAAAGTACTTTGCCTTTACCGATTCTCCTCATTCACCACAGCTTCTCTCTCTGTTAAAGCTTTTCTGTGCTTGATGAAAGGACGAGGCTCCCAAGTGCCACCATTGCTGTTTGTTTATACCTTGTGTGAAGCTCTCAGAGCTCGTATTCTTCTTGTGAATTGGTGCAGACTGTCAACATGCTCAACAGTTTTGATGCTGATATCTCACACATCATTAGCACAGTGTGGTTGAACAAATAGCATAACCTGTAGTATAGCTACCAACACAGGAACTTTTTTTTATTATGTAATTATATTTATTATTATTATTACTATTATTATTATTATTTTGCTACAGGCATGTGCACTCACCAAAGAGAGATAAAGAAAGAAAGACAAGGTAAGCCACCAGTTCTGGGAGTCAAACCGCAGTTGGCCATGCGGGAGTCCAGCACCTTAACCACCACATCACCTGCTAGCTTCAAGGAACTGGCTATTTAATATTGTACTGAACCAGTATTGGTTTCATGTGGCAACTAATTCTTGCATGCTCTCTAGGTTTCTGATTATTGAGTGATGAACTTTTTCCAAAATGTGGGTGTCTAAGTAACTGCTTCTAGGAGACAATCAATCTTCCCAGTTATGAAGAATGTGCAGGATGATCTATGGTGTGTATTTATATACATTAAGCCCAAAGCTGATCTTCTATAACAATGATGTATTTAATCCCCCTCCCATTCCTTACACCTTCCCTCAATAATGGAGAACTAATCTCACTTACCTAGAAAGGTACGCATAGGAGAGGTCTTGGACCACTAAATTCGAACCTAAGGTCCTGGGTGTATATTTCATATCAAATAAACATTGAAGCTAGGGAGAAACAAGTGGAAATGCCACCTGCTCCTAAAGACAGCTATTAACATCCTAACACAGCTGTTTGCACTGGCAGGGCCTAAGCACATAGTGCCTGAGGAGGAGCCCACACATTCAGGGGCCAGAGGCCTCCTAGGAAAATTTTCTCCTGAGTTCTCTAATGCATACCTCTTGTAAGGTTCAGAGAATCTGCCGTGCTTCTCCACAGATGAGTGACAAAGAAGGCAGCTGGGCCGCCCCGATAGAGAGGCGTTTATGTTCAGGGCTGTACCACTGTGTGAGGCCTTTGTGTACCTTGCATGCAGTAATAAACTCCAGCATCCTCAACCTCCACCCTGCTGATTTTCAGTGTGAAATCTGTCTCTGACCCACTGCCACTGAACCTGTCTGGGGCTTCAGAGAATCTGTTAGAAACCTCATAGATCAGGAGCTGTGGAGACTGGCCTGGCTTCTGCTGGTACCATTTCAAATAGGTTTTTCCATCACTATGTAAGATGCTCTGGTTAGACCTGCAGGAGATGGAGGCTGGCTCTCCGGGGATGACAGACAGGGTGAGTGGAGTCTGGGTCATCACAATGTCTCCACTGGATCCTGAAATGCAAAGTTATACACAATAATGTGTCATTTTAATTTTGTTATGTATTTTAGGGTAAATCATGTTTTGTGATTTTCATTCTTGCTCAAAAGTACCCAACTTAAAAGCTTTTTAAAAAAAGATTAGCAAGGCACAAAGGAGCCTCTAAGAACCACTATTACTATGTCCCTTTTTGTATTTGTCTCCACGGAAGTTCTGATCCTTTTCCTTCTATATTCTTCCTAACTTTCTCAGATCTAAACACCATGTGTCCCATCCTGAAGGACAAGATATTGCTATCTAACACAGGAAGAGAATGTGGTAATTACAGACGAGGGATTGTCATTTAGTCTTTAAAAAGGAGGAAGTAAGGGCTGCCCAATGCCTGGTGGCTAAAGCAGTTTAACCTGCATGACTGATGATGTATTTTGAGTGCTGTACCCAGCAGCCTGAGTAACACAGCAGGCACATGCGCATGCATGCCTAAAGTCCTGAAAGGGCAAAGACACTGAGGAGAAAGATTGCCACACGACCATCCCCCGTGGAGGTGACTTTTTTTCTCTCCATCTCGTATGCACACTCTGGCAAATTTAAAAAGGAGGAAATGTTACTATATGTAACAACAGAGTGAAATCCTGTGGACATTTTCAAAATAAAATAAGCAAGTAACAGAAGGACGAATGCTGCATATCACCACTTGTGTGAGGTATATAAAATAGTCCAGCACATAGAAGCGGAGAGAAGATTGGTGGTTACTAGGGTCGAGGAGAAGGGAGAATGGGGAGTTATTAGTCAATGGCCATAAAGTTTCAAGTAAGCAAGATGAATAAGTTCTAAAAATCTGCTGTTCAGCATTTAAGAGTATAGACTTTATGCTAATTACTCTTACCATAATCTCAAACAAAAGGAAAAAATACACATGGGAAGCTGTGGGACTCTCAGACTCACCCTCCCCTCCCCATTCTCCTCTTTCATCTCCAATTCTTTGCTTACCAGGGATCCAGAGCAATAGCAGCCCCAGGAAATGAACAGAAAACTTCATTTTGAGAAGCTGAACGGAGGAGTCCCGATCAGTCAAGGCAAGATTAGAGCTGAGCATTTATCTCAGACCTGAAGGAGAAAGTCCTCCCCAGAGGACAATATGCAAATCTCCTGATGAGTGAAGTAATGTAGAAAAAGCCAGCAGAAGTTAGGGTGTCTCCTGGGAGCATAAAATGTCTTCTGTGATCCAACAGGTCGCATGGTGGTTAAGGAGCTGGACTCCATCATGGCCAACTACAGTTTGAGTCTCAGACCCGCTGACTTGAAAATCAGGCTAGAGATGTGTGCTTGCATGCCCAAAATTCCAAGAGGAGAATGGGGACGAAGGGATTGCAGCATGGCCATCCCCCGTGGGATGGTTTCTCACTTTCCCTCCTACCGTCTCTCTTTCTCTGTTTCTCCATATAGCACATGCACCCTAAGGCAAAAACCTTAAAAAATAAAATAAAATAAAATAAAAAATAAACAGGGAGCCTGTGGTGCTGCAGACCAGGAAGAAGAAGTATTTGGTGAGGGAAGCCAATGCAGGTAATGACTGCAGGCTTCTTCCTGCCTCCCAACTCGTCTCAGAAATATTCTATGGCTTCTTAGTGTTCTGAACCATGTGGCACATTCCTTTTCCCTCTTCCATCTGAAAGTCTCCAGGGTAGCCCCTGGTGCTTCTGGTCTCAAGAGTTTTGGAAAGGAAGCAACACCTACAGGTGCCTATACACACACTGTGAGTGGAAGATGAGGCCCTCTACCAAGAACACATCTGAGAAGTAGAGCTCTTTTTCCCCCTTGACTCTACAGACTGGACATCAGAAAACCAGGTAGTAGTGTATAATCCACCATATGACTAGAAACCAACACAGAGGCACAGAAAGTATGGGAAATACTCCTTCCTCAACAGAACAGAGCAACTCTTCTTCCACTATGAACAGCGCAGAGGAATTTGAAGGAATGTCAGAAATAGAGTTCAGTATATTCATGGTGACAGAGATGAGGAAGTCTCTCCAGGATATGAAGGAGGACATAGACACAGTTTAAAAAAAAAATCAATCTGCCCCCGGACCTGCGCAGGCTGCGGCGGCGGCGCCTACGCGGCCCCCCGGGCCTGCACAGCCCCCCGGGCCTGCGCGGCCAGGGCTCTGC